ATAAACAAGTAGGCAATAGTATATACATATTATTAGAAAATACACTGCTGAACTATTTCAAAGTTTGATCAAGTAAAGCATATATTATAATGGCTATTTGCAATACTTCAAAAAAATCTATAGAAATTGCTATGATATAGCACAATTGATTAAGGTACTTCAATTATAAAGGCATATGATGCATGGTAGATCTTAATACTATTATTAGACTATCATATCTTTCAATCAATAATATCTTTTATAAAACTTGTCTAACTAGTAAGCAAAGTAAAATTTTGATTTTCAAATGTAAGACCACTCCATCAACTCATATTCTTCAACTAATATATATATATATATATATATATATATATTAATATATGCAGAACTTTTTACATAAAATCACAATCTTATTTAGGGTGAATCAAAGAATGTTATGAGAAAGTCTCTTTTGACATCATACAATTGTAAAACAAGTGGATGGTAGAATATTTTCTTTGTTCAATATAGGACCAAATAATAAACATATGTTAGGTACAAGTGTCTAAAAAAATGATGTATAACAACATTACAGGAAAAAAAAAAAAAAAAAAAAAAAAAAAATCTAACAAGGGAGTTAAGACAGAGAAATGTTATCTTTAGAAACAATAGTATAGCACTCACTGAGGAAGAATTGCCATTATTTAAGTACTTATATACAAAAAGTGATCTTAATTTCCAAAGACAAAAAAACACATATTATTGTGTCCTAAAAGGCCGACATAAATATAAAGCATTATAGCTACAAATACAAAATTGGAGGTTAAAACAACATAGTGTCAATAACTAATAAATAAGATCTACAAAAAATAAAAAGATCAAATAACATTCTCAATAAAGAAAAATTGATATATAAGTAAAAGACTTCATCATTTAGATTTGAGTTTGAATTATTAAATAATACAAATTTAATGATCTAATGAAGATTTCAAAAAGATGACTTATTAATAGGATCATTTTATAATTTTGTGAATCCATACTAAATGAATGATAAACTACCAATAGTCCATAAATTGAATGGTCTAGATGTAAATAAATAAAAGGCTAGGATACTTCTATTGGAGACTTGAGCTTAAAAAAAGATGTTAGTATATACAATAAATATATATTCATTTAATTACGATTTACATAATTATGGTGGCTAAGTGCTCCTATAATTGTATACATATGTTTGTAGCTTTGCCTTATGAAATCATCTTTCATCCTTTCATCAAACTATAAGTTACTAAAAAAAAAAAAAAAAAAAAAAAAAAAAAAATCTTATAAATTATTATCTAAAAACTAAAGTTAATACATATATTTTTTTGCACCAAATTCTAAGACAAACCTCCGAGAGAGGTTGGTTTTGTCAAGGTCCTTGTTCTCCTCCATGTAGCTTATGGCGGGCAAGCATAAAAGACCTCTTGCCTATGTCTAATCTCATTGTTGTGTGATAACACAATTATATAGTGAACGAAGAAAGAAAAGATTATATTATAGAAGAACTTAAATAAAAATAATTTAATAAACTATCTTTAAAATATAGATAATAGATAAGGAGGTAATAAAAATTAATAAATATTAATATTACCTTTTTAGAGAAGAAACTTCTACTTACTTTATAGGAACATAAGTGAGCCAAATCAAAATAAATAAAATAAATAATTGATACATATATTTTTAAGAAAGGATTAAAAATATATTTTAACAAAAATCACCTCGAAATATAAAGAATTGATACCTAAAGAGGACTAGTTATGAACCAAGGTCAAAATCACATCCCAAGGCACAAAACCATACACCTATGGCAACTTTGAGATTCTTTAGTTGATTGGAAAGTAAAGTTTACAATAAGACTTGTGAAAAGATTTTTGAGAATTTATTTCATGTGATTCAAAGGCAAATTGAGGTTTTGAGGGCTTTTCAAATTAAAAGATGTATTTAATGGATTTAAATTTTAAAAATAAAAATTTTATAATTTTAAAAATTTTATGTGTAATGTAGCATATTTATAAGTGAAATTTTGTTAGTCTATAATTGTATTTGTTTTGAATGTGTGAGAGAAATTTGATATCAATTGAGTGATTAGATTGAAGGTTGTGAGAGTTTTTGTAAATTATGGTCTTAGATAATTAAAATTTAGAAATAGTGAGGATTTTTGTGATCTTACAACATCTGTCAATTTTATTCAAACAAAAATTGGTGAAAGCTATTTAGACTTAAAAATTTACATATCAATCAAATTTTGAATCAATTAAAAGGTTTAGCAAAGAGAAATTATTATTGGAAGATTAATATTCAAGTTAGAGAAGAAAGGCAATCAACATCCTAGAAGTTTTGGAAGCTTTTTTTTTTAATCAAGAAGTTCAATTTTTTTCAAATTTTGTGTGCTTGTTAATTATATGGGACTGAAATTTTAATGAAATTTTAATTAAGATCAATGGTTAAATTAATTTTTATTGAGGTTTTAAAATAACTATAATAATTAATCAATATTTACTTAGGATTTTTTTAGAATTTGATTAGAATTTGGTCTAAGATTTGGTTAAGATTTGGTTAAGATTTTATTAGGATTTAATACAAAATTTAAGATTTGATTAGGATTTTATTTAGGATTTGTTTAGGATTTTGTTAAGATTGTTTCTGATTATTAGAATTTTATTAGGATTTTTTTAGGACTACATTAAGATTTGATTAGGATTTACCTAGGATTTATTTAGGATTTTTATTTTTGATATTTTTTTAGGATTCTTTGTTATTTTTTTTAAAGGTTCTATTTTTAATATTTTTTTAAAGTTATTATTATTTCTTTGAGGTTTTTATTTTTCTTTGAGGTTAATTTATGAATTTTTTATGTTTCTGTTGTAATTTATTTTAAATTTCTTTTAAATTGGTTGAAATTTGATTAGAGTTGTTAAAAAATACTTAGAGTTTATTTAAGATTCTATTAGACTTAATAAGATCTTGTTATTGTATTTTCTATTTACCTTCCACAACTTGATGTCCCATGCATTCTCAAGTAAGAATTCACGTTATACAACACAGCTTCTTTAGTGTTGGATAGATACTCTTTCACAATAGAGATGATCAGCTATCAGTGGCAAGTATTCCTCCTCCATTAATCAGAAGCTTGAAGAATTCCCTTGACAGCGATTGCCACATCTATATTAGTAACGATTAACTTATATTTTCACAAAGATTAGATCATAAATAACAGTAAGATTGAACATGCTGACAAAACATGATTTAATGTAGAAATGAACAAACCCTCCAAAACTTCGTTTAACTCTGCAAGTGGCTTGCATGAAGTGGAGGATAATCACATCTCGTCTTCACAACTCTTTGATGGGCGTTCTACATTTATCACAAGGAAGCTTGCAAGCGAACCCGCTGGAAATTTGAAAGGATGCTGTGACCGGGGAATTTTGGAGGGAAAAAACAAGAAAAAGAATTGTGCAGAAGTTAAGAATGAAAACAGGATTCGTTGGTTCGATGAATTCGTGTATGTAAGAAGGGATAGATGGGCAGATGGGCAGATGTGTAATGGCTTTTAGTAAAACTGTCTATTTCTCGCTCGTCAGTTAGCTGGAGTATTGACAGACGTGAAGTCTGCCGGTCTTGCGGTGTGACCTCGGCGGTAAATTGTGGAATGAAAGCTGACCAGGTTGTCGTTACTCTTCGAAGGACACGGAGTGCGTTCCTCAACAGCTTAGGTTTCATTGTCTTGGTTTCTCACAACTTGTGATTGTCGAATCCCGAGAAATTACCTTCATCGTAAAGGGTCACCTATGTACAGAACCGGACCCTGATCAGTAAGATGAGACCTTTGAGCAGATGCAAGCTTGAGATGTCTTGAACCTTGATCCCGTGCTAGAATATTATTTGTTTATCTGCATCTTCACAGCAAGCTCAAGGACTGCATCCGAAACGTGTTCTTGCTCCTCTGCATGTGTTACAGGGCATGAAGTTAACCAATAAATCGCTAAATGATTATCTCGTGAGTTTGCGGTAGTGGACTTTCAGAGGCGTAAAATGTTAATTACCTTGCAAAGCCTGTACGTTAGGTGAATCGGTTGTGTGCCAGTTGTGAAATCTCAAAATTACTACCAGTTGATGGGAACTGGTGGATGTGGAACTCATGTATCTTTTGTACAGGGTGAATCTTTCTGGCATTCTACATTCTAAATGTTGCCTTGCTTAGCTTGTCTGCGTGCTGGTGGTCTTGATTAGCAGTGCTGTGTAGTGCATAAATATATTGTTGGCATTGCGATTGCTCTGATGTCAACAATATATTTATGCACTACAATATATGTCAACAATATATTTATGTAATACAATACCTTAATTAGAAGAACATATTTACAATGGGTGAACCAAGAAAATAATAGAATTTAAAATCATATTGATATAAGCCAGACAAAACATTTTCATTGTCGGGCTTCAAATGTTGCAATCGTACCGGGAGGTTCTCGTGCTCGCTCTCTCTCTCTCTCTCGCTCTCGTGATTGCAGGATGACTATCTTTCCGAGCCATGTGGTTCTTCATGCGCTGCCTTTTGGCCTTCAATATAAGAAATAACTTCAACTTGAGATGTAGTTTATGGAGTTTGTTCAAGACAGGTAATCCACACGCTACTCGAATACAATAGGTCCTTCACTTCAAGCACATGCGAGCACCTATCAAATGCACGAAACTCAAAAGTTACAAGTGCTTGAAATCAAATTGTATTCCGAGCTTCTGATTTATTTTCTATTCAGTTTTGATGCAATAAATTTTTGATAGTTCGGTAGAGAATGACTAACCTTTTGTAAAAGAAGGGCAATCATGTGGATATGAAAGAAATGATTACTCACATGCAAGCTTTAAATACTGGTTCAGGAGAATTTGACGCACCTCTTGTGCCTCAAACTTTAGGTTGACAGGGTTTATAATTTTCTTGCTACGTTGCCTTCGATTTTTCAAATGCTGCGGAACTTGTCGACAAACATTTGAACAGTCAATGCAATATTTGCTCTTATTATCTTCTATAAGATTTGAACATTAGTTTTTGGAGATTAATGCGTGTATTGTAATATGTATCCGAAATGTTTTGATATGGTGGTCTAGCACCTCACGAGAATTTATGAAATTTCTGTATAAAAAACGCGCGTTTGAAACTTAACCTATTACGGTCTATCGTCTATGGAGTTTTTAAAAATTATTAGTGGTTTATTGGGTATGCAATAATGTTTCATGTGGTCAGGAAGTTGCAACTTGAGGAACATGACCGTCTGTACTGTGGAGTAGACAATGAGTTATAAGCTTTTTTTGGAACGTGGTCTGACTTTTCATTGCTTCTTTGCCAATTCTACGGTTCGCCCTTGCATCCTGCAACTAGGCTATGCATCTTGATGATCGAGTTATAGCAGAGCGCTACATGCTGACAGTTGAGCATCCGCATATTGAGGTGCTGAGTTTCACGTGTTCATATCGGTATTTGTGCCAATGAATTGACGATTCGTCGCTTGTTTGCAACAATTTTGTATTATTTGTTCGCTTCTTCTCTCTACGCTTCGAGGCCGGATACAACGTATTTGATATGTATTGGATAGTTGACCGCATAATCCGTACATAACTACAGTCTGATGATCTCGAGTAGAGCGAACTTCTCTTGAAGCATGAGATGGAATTGTGGAGATTGATGAATTTGTCGTATGTTTCTACTTAAGGAATTTCTACAAACGGAAGTGACTTTTGGAGGTTTTGTGCACAACAGTGTGCTCATCTTCACAACTTGCTGTCACCAACTCTTAACATTTACATAAGTTAGGTGTGCGTGAAGAGTATTCATTTTATGTTCTTTCCCATCGGGTTAAGGGATATCAATTGAGTGAAATTGCAAGCTCTTTCTCAAGTAGATCCCAGAAGAGAGACGGTTCCGATTCTAGTATGTAGAATCTATCATTGGAGGAATTGGAGTAAGTTTCTACAAGTCATAATCTCGTACGGAGGCTTATTTTCTTTTGGCCAAGTTCGAATTAACAGCTTCCTTAAATGCGAGATTAAGTTGCTTATCCAGAAGTGAGTCATCGCTACATAGATGTTGGCGATTACGTCACTAGCTCCTTGCATTGTAGTGGCCTTATGAATTGTATTGAATGTTCGGCCTTCGACCTCACTTTCCTCTGATCATCACTGGTCCAGACATGTGTCTACAAGTGTAATTTTGGTAGATGCACCACTAATTATAGGATTGCGTCTTTCGCAACAGAATTGACAGGGGCTCTACTTGAGCACGGACCGCGATTCAAACTCCATCAGTAGCCTGTAGGGCACGCCAAGTATAGTGGCCAGCTCTTGAAAGCGGATTGTAGTTGACGTGCATCTAGCAGTGCTTCAAATTCAACACGTGATGCGTGGAGGCTTCTCTTCCGGAAATATGTAGTGGTAACTGAAACAGCATGCAGTCAACTGCGTCGATGGATTTGCAATCACCTTGGCAGCATTTGCAAGGAGCAAATTCTAACAATCCGATGCCAACTCAGTTTCAACGTCGTTCAGACGTGTTGAAGTCCAGTGTGAGTTCCGAGTATCACACTGTACAATACCTGGATCTTCAAGCGATTTACGATGGCGATTCCATGGATCTACATGACGGAATTCATGAGGTTTCGCTGTCTGACCACATCAATGGCTCCGTGAGTAACAGACATCCCAGTCGTTCTTGTTCACAGAAGAAGTCTTTTCGGCTTTGGATCATCAAGTGAGGGCACCAGCTAGAAGAAGGGGCAGCTGGCGAGCCTCAGAGTGTGGATTGGGAATTACTGAAGCTGAAGGTGATAACAAGAATAATTCATCATCAGATGAGTCCTGTTCCGTGCGTTTTGACGAGGTCAGGCATGATCATCAGACAGGCTCTTTGGATCGGGATTGGAATTCATACCAAGTAAGTCTCCTTTTCCTTCATGTGGTACACTTCTGATTGAAACTTGGATGAGTAGAGTTGTAAAGAGTGCTGAAGCTGAGATATGTGGAGACACAATTGCGACTTCATCTATCAGTGTGTTGTCTGCGACTTCATTCAATTCAAACTCAGACTGGTCGATTAAGGGCAAATGTAGAAAAGTGATTAAAAGCGTTTTGTCTAGGACCCATCACGCAATAGAAATTACACGAGATGAAGTCAAAGATAACCAGATTATGTTAAATGGTACTCCTAGAAAGAGTTCATTAACACACTTGCTTCCGGCACCTGCATATATTCTGCATATGGTACTTGACTAACCACATCTAGGATTTGTGGACCAATCTGCTCGGAACTTCCACTCAACCTCATTTGATCCATGGCTCTTGTCATGAAGGTTTGTATTACTCATGATGGATGTAACTTATGATATGGTGTTGTGCAGATCCAGTTGGATGTTTCGAGACTGGAACATGGGATGTATAAATTAGACCTCCTATGTACGCAACAGCCGGGTGCTTTTGTGCAACTTACTCAAGCCTTTGAGGCATTTGTGATTCAGATTGTCCACACCAACATGATAGCCATCACCTCCAAGGTTATCTGCTCCTTCATTGTCAAAGTAAATCATCTCCTCATTTTGTACCGTACTTCGTCTTCAATTCTACTCATCCCAAATATGTTTTATTTTTTTACCTCTCAAATCCATGGTTCAAGGATTGAACAGCATGCTAATGAACATGATAAGTTAATGATACGTATTCCACTTCATATGAACGTTACTAATTTTGATGATCGTATTTTTTGATCCCACTCTTTCGGTGGGGATGGTGGATTTGTTGACAGATGAGCAGCTGGAATGACATGGAAATGAAAGAAGTGAAGGTTGACACAAAACGCTTACTAAGACAATTTGGATTGCAGTTTTCATAGAATACTCTGAAGGACTAACAAGGCAAAGATTGCCAAAATGGAATCAGTCGTACCATCTTGGATAGGTAACAATGCTTGTCAACATCTAAGTCCGCATTTCAACATAGTAGGGAGTGGAATTTTGAGATTTCAATGAACTCATTATGAGGCTTGGCGCAATGCTGGGTGGTTGATGGCAGCTCTACGCATGGTGTTAGATTCAGAATGCTGTGGTGCACATTTTGGAGGAGTTAGGTAATGCGGAAGGCACAAATTGGTCCAACATTAAAAATAGACTTAGAGAGAGATATATAAAACCCTCTGTATTGTTGTTTAATCTACTGCAATTGGATCTTGATTCCTGCCATCAAACTCAGTGACATGATGTACAGTTGCTTGCTAACTTTGGAAACCATTTCTGTTGCATGCTTATTATTTGTCATATCTAATTGAATTCTCCAAAGAAGTGTGTTTATGTATGTATGAGTATTTTAAGAAGAATTTGTTCATTTATTGATTTATTTTAAAAAAGAAGAAAAACTATAATTATAGAGAATCGACTATTAAGGTAAAAATTTGTGAAATATATATATATATATATATGCGAAAAATTGAAGTTGCATTTAACTGAATCATGAATATTTGAATAACTTTCAGAATAAAAAGTCAGATCAAATTAGGTATTGAAATTAGATTAAATTTTGAGATAAAATACTAATTTTCTGATTAATTTTTTTAAATTCCTAATAAATGATATGTTTATTTAATTAAAACAATAATAATTTTTTATAATTTTTAAATTGGTTTTTAATTTTTGACACCTAAAATAAAAAGATAATTTAATAATTTATTTTTTAGAATAAAAATTACGAAAAAAAAATGATAATGAATATGACATAATTACTATGGATAATAAAAATTAAAATATTAATCTAATAATAATTAGCCTTATTTGTTAAATTTTAGTCATTAATAAATTGTTTGATTGATATATCTTCAATTTGGTTCAAATTCTTAAAACTATAATAATTTCTAAGAAAATCCCACTTAAAGAAAATAAACAATTTATATATATATATATATATAGTTTTTAATATTAAAAAATTACTAATATATTTTAGTAAGAGATACTTTATACTTTGGAATAAGAAGAGAGGCATAAATTTTTTGATTTTTTAATTGGTTGAAATCAAGAAGCCTTCTTAAATAGACTTTATATTTTAAAAAATGAATTTAAAGGCCCTAAAAAGAAAATATGAGGTATAAGATTTTTTTTTTTTCCTACATGGCATAAATAGTATTGTTTCCTTAAATTTCTATCAAGTCTATTTTGAAAAACTAGTTTTCAAAAAGATTTAAGAAGCCATGTAAAAAAATTCTTAAAATAACTAATAAAAAAATTAAAATATCTCATAATTTTATAAATCAAGATATAGAATGATATATCTAGAATTATAATAAAAGAATAAAATATTTGATTTTATGGCCTCTTCTTATTTTATATCGTATGCAATGTTAAAGCTTTTAAAAGATGACTTTTTCCCACCAAGTAGGCAATCAAGGTAAGACTTTTGAAACATAGATTTTCAAAATAGGCTTCCATATATAAAGTGTCAAAAATAAAAATTAGAACCTTAATCACAAAGAAATGGTATTGTACAATGAAGACTAAGAGATATAAATAAGAAGATAGATTAGACCAAAATACAATATTCAAACTTGTATTGTTGATAAATATAAAGCTTAAAAGCTAAAAAAAGAACTAACTTAAGAAAAGAATTAATGAGATTAATAATAGTCTTTATCTTATTTCTATATATACTAATTATTAAGATGACCATATAATGGCTTTTCAAAGATTGCATAGTTATTAAGACAAATAGCCAATATATAATGCAAGTGGCTAATATATAAAATATGTAGAATAAATATAATTCTAAATTCAATGTAATTCTATTTATTTTCAACTACTTCTATTTATTTGAGTAATATAGATATTTTTTATATTATTCTCCTTTCTAAGAATGGATTCTATTAAGAATATTCAAGTTATTTCAAAAATTGTTGGAGTCTAAAATTTGGTAAATGATGTTAGAAAAAAAAAAAAAATCTTCTTTTTTATAAAAGTAATTGATAGGTCTCTTTAGTCTATTAATGATATCTCGGACTAGCACATGAAGACTACAAAATTATTTAATTATTATTTAAGTCTTTATGACTACCTTCAAACAATACATTTAACATACCATCAAATATAATATTCACATCTAATAGTATCGTTAAACATTGATAGGCTTCTATAAGATTGTGATACCAAACATACTAAATCTTACCATCTATTTGAAAAAGGACATGCTTCTCTTTAGGATCTTTATGACAATTCTAATATTGTCAAGATCAAAAAATCTATATTCTTTATCTTGCAATTTTGCAAATGACAATTTTTTAGAGGAATTTAAGAACTATTCTTTATCCATGCTATAAAGAATTTTTATGAGTTAATCTTTAAACTTTTTTCTTTTTAATTTATACCATCTTTTTGTTAATATTTAGTCTTTAGATTTGATGAATATTGTAGATAAAAAACAACAAGTTGTGATATATTTCCAAGGTGCTTGAATGGCTTCCATGTGACTTTATTAATGTTATATTCATGCTAATATACAAGATATTTTAATTAAATTTTGTATTACACAAAATTCATGACTTCTTCTAATTCAAACTCTTGGTTGTTATATATTTCAATAAGAGATGGTAGTAAAAGATTTCTTCTTAGTAGTATAAGGCTCAATAAGAAACATATGAAATACAAGACAAAACTTTATTGAATGCAATAATTACTATAAACATAAAAGTAGATTAATATATTTTAAAATAATGAATAGATCAAGTCTTTTATAATCCAATTTATTAAAAGGTTTATTGGTCTTGATATTACAATACTATATTCATACCATATCACCAACTTCGACTTTAGATAGATTTTTTTAAAAAAACATTCACATTAGTTTTATTATTCTTAAGCCTTATTTAGTAATATCTTCATTGTTTTATAAAGCTCTATTCTTTCACTTGCTAATTCTTTTATTGTTAAATTTTTAACTTTAAAAAAATTATAAATAACAAATTATAAATTGAACCATTATTTAAAAAATATAAGAAGAACTATCTTAAGAAAGGAATTGACAAGACTAAAGAAATTCTTAGTCTTCTCTATATATATACTAACTACTAAAAAGACTACATTGTTATGTTATGTGAAAACTAACTTAAAAATATATTGGACATTTGGTAGTGGAAGAATTTGATCTTACCTTGAAGTTTGATCTATAACCCAAAACAATGCATAGGATGATTAGAAACACCTTTTGGCAACCTTAAACAACCTAAGTAAGCTTCCAATTATGCTAAATATATCATATCAACCTTAAAAAATCTAAGCTACATCTTATCACACTCTAATCAATCAAAGATAAATTCTAAAAAAAAATAACACACTTTAATCAAATCCTAACCTAACCTAAGTCAAATCCTAACATTTTAATAGTTTTCACTCAATATTGTCAAAAATTCATAATACAATCCAAAGAGATATAATACAACACTGTTCCATTAAATTTTGCTTTTATAATGCAAAATGTCTCATTTTTGTATTGAAATAGTGCCACAATGTTGATGACTCTCTGCACTTATTACAAATAATCAACAAGCAATTAAGTGAACAACTGAAACTCAATCATTAAAATTAAATATCTATGCATATACAATCTAAATTCAATTATTGATTTCCAGAAAACAGAAATAGATTCTAAGCTCAATCGGTCAAACAAAACATTCATTTTCTTTTGATAACAAAAAGCAACTTAACTTATACAAAACTCAATGCTGGTATTTCACTCTCATTGTTTCAAGTGACTACTATAAGTCACTGGTAGTAAAAACTCTAGTTCTGCATGAACTAGTCACGATTTTAATTGTAAGGATATAATGTTGATGGCACCCAGAAGCTTAGCAGTCTACGGTAGTGCACACCCACAGTGTTTCTCTCCCTCCTCCCATAATGCATAGGTTTTTAGTGGCATAGCCACACTGCAAGCTCCTTTGGAAAATCCAAACAAATTGTAACTTAAGTAAAATTTTACACATTCTACTACTGCTGTCAACGTACCTGTTGAGCTACAAAATATTACAGATGATAAAGGTTAATCACCCCCTTCCATAGCGGGATTGAAAGCAAGGGCACGTTTCCATATTTTTGAGGCTCAGATATGAAAATCATAGCTTTCAGATTTGTCTAACTCGGCAAGAAGAGCTAGAAGCCCAACTGGTTGGCTTTCAAGCCAGATTAAAAAATGGGCTTTCGAAGTAGGCCAGGACTTGGGCCAAACAGAGGGAGCTAGCTGGTTCGAGCTGGAAGTGGCCGACACAGACGCACTAAATCCATGCGACTTTTTTCGGGGGTGGCCGGCTGCTCGAATAACCGGAACGCTGCTAGCATAAACAAAGCGATCGGAGTAGGGGTTCAGCAAGCTGTCGCTAAAGCTGGTTGCGGTGTCAACCACAAGGCCCTGTCACGCCAAGATCATTCCTCAGCTTATTATACGGACCAACGTACAAAACCTTAAAATGGGATCGATCTGGTTGCACATACAATGGCGAGAACTCTGCTAGCGGTGATGGATGGTAATCAATGGTAATACAATCAAGGCTTCTATGAGTGATAGAGAGCGAATCATAAGTGCACGAACGCATAAAGCTAGAACCAGGTGCAATCTTACACCGCAGAGTCTTCACCGAAAAGTAACAGTACCAAGTTCCTACTGAACTGTATACGCTGTTGGCGAGTCCTTCACAACAGAAGTTAACAAATAATAGGGAACGATTACCTCAGCCAAAGCCTTGATTTTAAGAGTAGTTTGATCTGTCAAGATAGCAACTCGACCATCTAGTTTTGCTTGTTGAAATAGCGCGCATTCGAGGACATAGTCATGAAGAGTAGGATGCATCATGTCGCTTTCACCGACGTGTGAAAGAGGTCCTCTGCGCAGTAGTTACACATGATGTCACTTATTCACAAGATTTCGTAAACAAGTTCCTGAATACTAGAACTCTGTTCGCTTACATTGCTACGAATAATTCATCGCAATCTTGGTAAGGCTGAAAAATTGGGACATGGATGATTCGAAAGTCATGAGTATATTTTAGATGAATAGTTCACCTAAAATATATGGAGGGCGATAAAGGAGGCGTGGTTCCCACGTGTACAGTTTCTCCAGAGCTTTGAACGTGAATCCATGAGGGAATCTTCAACATGCAAGCCTCAATCCATTGAAGGGCGTCAGACGCACAAACCCTCCAACTCTCTTGTTTCTGCAAGTAGTCCAGCTCCCTTACAACTACATCACAGTTGACGAAAAGGCCAATTGATGGGAAGAGAATCATGCACGAGACTTAAGTTTGTTACTTGCTAGCAACATAGTGATTAATAGTAGAGAAGAAAGAAAAACGTAGATTTGCTCATGAAAAACACTCGATAACTTGCTAAAAAATAATGATTACAATAATGCATCAAATACACACAACAAGGATACTCTGAATCAACAACGTTAGGTTTTACCGATGTTTGGAATGATGAGGCGAGTCTCGTGAATGCCTTCAAGATGCTTCAGAGACTTGAGAGACTCTGCATCCAAAAGACAGTTCGTGTCTGCGACCATCTGCCACTGCCGTCCTGACTCCACTTGAGACCTCGCCTGCCAGTTGGGATGTGGTTAGACATACTCGTCAGGAAGATAAACTACTGCAGTTGTTTAGAAGCAAGCCAAAATATGCAAAAGACGCGAAGATTAGTGCACGGGCGTTCACACAAAATGGGGGAATAATGCTGACTTGCAATATGTGCTACCATCTTCACACTACTAAGATACAAGCAGATTGCTTGGATCGAGCCAATCCCTTACTCTGTCGATTGTAGCAGAACAATATTGCAACATAATCTATCTCCGAAAAGAACAAGGATAAACATTAAGTATAAGAGGGCCCACCCGAAGTAGTTGATAAGAAGCAGGGATAGTAAAAGTGTGAGGACTCTGGTACATCGGAGGAGATGGCGCACTACATAGTGTCTGAAGGGGCTCTCTAGAGCAATGTCTCGGTTCATTGAACCTTGATGGCAAATTTGAAGTGATACTGCCTGGTCCAGGCAAAAACATCTCATGTACAGGCATATTCTCTTTATCTGAATCGTGATGTTCGTGTAAATCACTATGACCGTAGATCTCCACAGAAAGTCTGTCTAGGGCACTCTCGATGGTGTTCTCTTCGTCGGAACAGTCACAGGTTATAATTGAACCAGTTTCGTCGGCATCCTCTGATGCGATATCACTTCCATCTCTCAATTCCTCAGCAGTTATAGGTCCTGCCTGCTGCAGGGACAAAGTTGCAAATGTCACTTCGTCCTCTTCTATTGGTATAGGATGACTTACGTGGATCGGCATGAAGTTGTCCAGGGTTCCCATGGTTCTCGTAGGCGTGCGTTTTTCAGGAGTTCGATTAGGTGTACAGCCCATTCGTATGTTGAGCTCAGATTGTGGAAGAGGAGTAAAGGCCAGGCGGCGATTAAAGGTTCCTTCGGCACCCCTTTGAGACTGCCTTCTTGTTGTGGAAGGATCATTGTCCTCATACACTAATGACGCAACTGGTGTTATCTGTTTTGACAGCTTCTTGGTGCTGGATCTATTTTCCTGCAACACATTTTTGAAGCAGGCAATCAAATACCGATGAAATCACAAGAAACCAAAACGAATCCAGGCAGAAACGAGTATACCAGGTTAATTCTACTCGAAACCGTGATAGATAACGTTTAATATGAGTAATTAGAAGAGGTCTGTTAATAGATGGGCCATAAACCTGGACATGTTGACAATTTTAGAACCTCCCACTAGGGTTTCTGCAGTTAGTGCTCATCTAAACCTATGTGGAGGGTCATGTTAATCAGGAATAATAGCATCCTCTTTAACTCGAAGTTCAAATTGTATTAGTAAAAAATTTGCGTACGTTGTCTTCTAAGCTCTGATCAGCAAAATTGTCGTAAGGTGTTAACGGTTGAGAAATTGGTGTTCGAATGTCCTGTGTAACACACAAGGTGGAAGTCAGGATCTATACCACAGATGTCGAGGAATAAGTAAAACAGTATTTCAGGAGTAAAGAAACGTTAGTCATCACATTCTATATATCCAAACCCTATTTAGTACTTGAATAGGCTTAGAAACATTTTGATAATTCCAAGAATAAGAGAGTGAAGTTACGGGCACTCTCACGCTGGACTCGGCTTTTCTCGGCTTCCTTTCCCTCTGAAGGTCAGATGATGTGCTACCCTAAGTCAGAGAGCACATGCAAAAACTCAGATTAAATCAACATTTGCACTGCAAAATTTTGAATATCCGTGTTCAATTACCATATACATATACAGTCGTAAATTGAAAGAAAATCTTATTGTGCTCTAGTCATCTACAAACATCCATAGTTTAATCCCGCAAATGCTTGACATTCGTACCTTATAGCATTGAAACTACTCTCCCTCCTTGGAAAAGGGAAAAGAAATTTAGAGAGAGAGAGAGAGAGAGAGAGGAAGTAGAATCGAGTAAGATTATTGGAAGGAAAGAACGACATAACAAGAAAAGTGTTACAGAGTAATATTTCACCTGGTTAGGTCTGAAAGTAAACTTGGCATTGGAAACACTATCTGACGAATGCTCAATCTCACGGCCAGTGGGAGTCTGTAAGAAGTCTATCGGTGCTGCACAACCCTCTTCGACCACTTCATGCGGTGTTGCATCCGTACATTTATGGGGTTGGATCACCGGCTGTACAGTGACGCCACCTCCTATTTGAATTATTGCACCATCTTCCACCATGCTACAATGGCCAGCTTCCTTTGACCTTGCTTGCAAACCTACACCAACCTCTACAGTTATTCATGTTATTGATCAAATTTACATGTTTATTCTTCCAGTGGCCACATCTGCACAACATGTTCGATTTGCAAGAACTGGATACAGCAAGCCATGTCCAACACAGCAGGTATAGAGGAAGGTCAGATGTGAATAGTACTCGGTATAATTCCTAAAACATGGTACCAAAGTCATTTGAATCGCAGAAACACACTTGTGTAGGTTACCGCAAAATTATGAAACCATAGTATGGCTAACTGGAGAGGCTCGAAAACGAATCAGACAACGATTGTGATTAGTTGATATTCACCTTTTGCTTTTGCATCCAGACCTTCTCTCCCTTCAGCCACTGCTGAATCAGGAGCACAAGTCTCGTGCAATGCGCTGGTATCTTGTATAACTTCAGTGGATTCCATCCTCGCCTACTGGGGATTACAAGCTAAGCTTGCCCAATAAATAGCTAGCCGATGGCTTCCTACAGTAAATCAACAGGAGAATCAAAATCAGAGTTGCAACAACAACAGCAGAAAAATATAAACATAAAGTAAATTAATCATCAGTACACTGGCATCACATACATCTAAATAGGACTGCAAATAGGATTTAATACCCCCAAAAATCTTACAACTCCTGTGAATTTAAGCAAGGTCACAATGACCACTCTACATCTTTGTCTGGAATGCAGGAGAGCAGTAACTACAACATGGCGGTATGTGTGATCACAACCAAAATTAACAATTCAGTGGTAACAAGATATTTAACTCACAACTCTCCACACATAGCTTCTGACTCATTCTGAAAAGATAATTAAACTAACCGGCACACTGCAGTAAAGTTAGAAATCAATTTATTCCATTGTTGCCATCCAGCAAGTTTACTGTAAATAGTAGCTATCAAAGTTGCACATCTGGACCCCCACCAAGGACAAAAACTGCTTGCAGTGTGGAACTGAAATGAGCTGCAATGGAAAGTGAGATTAGCTGATTAAAGTGCAGTATGAAGTAAAAAAACGAACTCTCTCAGCTAAGTACTGCTTGTCGACGATTCAAGAGAACGTTTAAAAACCAATGCAACTCTTCCTGTCTCTCTCTAAAAACATCAAGAGTGAAAAACGTGAACGAAACAACAGGGTGAAAGACGCCCATGTGATGGAATTCTGGTAATCTGAAATCATGACAACCATCAGGCAGTCTGGAACTAGAGAATTGGGCCCTAGCGTACCACGGGATTGACCCACAACACAGAACATATATATATATATATATATATATATATATATACATACATACATCATTGAAAAATCACCTGCCATGCCCAACTACACGAAAACAAGAGGAGCAAAAAGGAGCGCAACGAGATTCAGCTATCACTGACGCAGAGCCCACAGTTCTTGTCAACTAGAACTCATTCTCTTTTCCAAAGAAAGACAACATGAACTCATCCAGCTTCCAGCACTGTTTCTACAAACAACCCAGAACAACCAGCACCAATTTATAATCGCCTGTGGCAAACGCACCTAAGATCCACTCCCCTCTCAAAACCAAACTCAGAACCAAAAACACATGAGCCTGCAAGCACACAACAGCAAACCAATTGGGAGAAGAGCAAACTACAGAAGACAAGCATCCATCGGACCTACGAACTTGGAACTCCAAACTGTAATACGAACAACTACTCACAGTTTTCCAGTTCCCGCGTATCCTCTGCCTCTCCCTCGCCCACAACACCACGGTCGTCTAAACTCTGCCCCCGACAACTCGAAGGGCTTTTGCTAACCTCCCCTTCCGAAAAAAGCAAAAATCTAAACCCAAATTACGATTCACGTAAGATTCCTTGCAAGAGAATGTCCAGGGGGAATTTATCTACCCACTCCATGAATTCACGAATCTCATGAGAAGCTTTGCTTGGCTTCACTCACTCACTCACTCACTCATTCACCCTTCTTCGAAAAAACAACACCGTCTCCCCCATCCGCGCCGCAAGAGTTGGCCTGGTCGTTTCCCACGAGTAACGAGACACCACCACCACCACCACCCACATCCAACATTTTTGCCGCGAGAAGGAATTTAAGTGAATGACCCGGAAGAACATGATGAATAATCTGCTGTGGAGATGACGACGAGAGTGGAGGATCCCCACTAAGCCGACGGAATGGAGGAGAGAGAGAGGATCAACCACGGATGTGAGCTCCCGCGAAATTGGTCCTCGGTTTCCACGCCCACCCCGCGAAATTTGAAGAATGGCGGGATTGCAGGTCTGCAAACATTTGAATTTTCTGGGGATCTGGAACCCGCCTCGGTTTTCGCCCGCCACGTGTGAACGCCGTTGCTTCGATGTCCCTAGCGTGAACGCGAACTCGGCTCCTCAAAGCTTCTCCAAATTTAATGAATTGGTTAGCATAATTTAAAATTTGTACATGACCTTATTCTCTGCACAAGCTCTGAGTTCTGTGATTTTGAACGGTTTTACATTAGGGTATTTTGATTCCCTTACTAATTCATGAAATGCTGAATGTGTTTTGTTTTTATAGAATTCACACATGTGATTTTCTTTAGATGACTTCTACATCAATATAATTTTCTTCATTGTATACCGTAGTTAAAATGATCAGTTTTTTCTTATTTGTATAATATGTTTTTTTTTCTACAGCACATTATCACCATGCTGATTTTGCAGTAGTTATCTTTATTTAATAAAATATCATTGATTTGCTTATTTCTATTTGAGTGTGAAATGCTATTGTAGACTTATATATTCTTTTAGATTTTGAGTTAGTTTTTTACCAAGATAATATAAAATAAATATAAATTTCTACAATCTTTTTTCAATTGTAAATATTTTTCTTTGCAAGATTTCGATTTTAATACTTAAATCTACTAAGTGTACTAATTGTAAAGAAAACAGTTAAAACATTGTCATCGTTTAGGGATTTATTTAGACAGATAGTTGGTTCACATAAATATTTGTATAATTTGAATAAATATATATAATGATCATGTTAAATGCATGTAATAAAATAAATATATTTTTAAATTTCATAAATTCTTTAATAATACCAAAATTTATTAACTTTAATTTTTCAGAAATCCAACACTCTTCAAAAAGTCATTCCATTATTTATTACAAGCTTTAATGATTCATAATGTATTATCAACACCTTTACACAAAATGTCTTTTTAGCACTCCTGACTTGTGAATAAACACACTATACTTTAATATGTCTTTTAATACAAAAGTATTGTAAGTTTTGGGCATTGGTTATGCATTGTATTCATTATTTTAATAGCAAATATACTCTTTGAGTATAACTGTTCAATACATATATTATTTATCTTTGCTATTTAAAATTTTGAACCAATCGTTTCTTGAGATTCACTGTAATTTACTTTTGAATTATAATCTCCATAACATTGTTATTTTAAATAAAAATTGAACCCCACCACATATATATATATATATATATATATATATATATACGTACATACATACATGTATGAAGTCGTCTCAATTATAAATAAAAATAGTACGTGTAATATTTTATAAATTATATGCATAAATCTAGAATTGAAACGTAAAATAAAATAGAGTAAGAGTAAACTGTTCAAGTTGATCATACTCCTGACATTTATTTTTTTCATAACAATATTAACTTCATAAGAAAAAATTGTTAATAACAAACCATAACATAATTTTTTATAAAATCAATCAATAATTTTGTATCTCTCATTAATATTCAAAAAAAAATTATCATATTATGATGATTTTGTTAAAAATATCATCTCTACAGATTTTAAACTTACTTAAGATTTTTTATTTTTTTTGCAAGCTTTAGTAGAAAACACATCAATCTCTTGCAGTTTGATGTATTAAAATCATTTTTTAATAGATTGAATAATAGAACTATTATTTAATTTTAATTTTAATTTAATTTTTGTAATTTTAATGAATTAAAGAATTTATATTCATAGAAAAATTGATTGATCATTCAAAAATAGAATAATAGAAGTTTCTTCAAGAATTTTTTTTATCAAGTGATTTATTATGTCACAAATTAGATTTGGAACTGTTACATATATTAAAGGACTTGGATGGATGGATGGATGGATTTGGACATTAAATTACTTTGATCAATATTTTTAGGAGAATATGAAATAAATCCAAATTTTTATGAAATCAATCCACCTATCTAGACCATCATTGCACCCCTTCATTTAATGTCTCTATTCCCTCTATTTTCAATGCCTTTCCTCCCTCCCAACTCCCCGTTTCTCTTCCATGTTTTCCTCTCTCCTCTCGATTCCTTGTCTCTCATCCCAAGTAATTGTTCATGGATTATTTCTCAATAGCATGCTTCTTGTGCAAGAGATATTATAAGTGCTTCAAAAAAGACCAATTTTTAAAACATTGTAAAAGATTTGTTTTTAAATTATTATGTTGATGAATAAACCTTATCAACATAGTTACTTAGCTTATTTAATCCCAATTATTTAGACACAATAGTTGTTCTCATGCACTCATCATGAATAATTATACTGAAGAGAATTGGTTTTGTTTTGTTTGCTACATATCAATTCTTAAACAATGTTACATATTTGCACTGTCTTTGATAACCTCCATGACTAAAACTTATTGACCATGGATGGATTTGTGAGAAAATGTGATAATATTGTACTTTGTTTGAAATATTGATTTTTTGCATTTCTAAAATTTTTGCTCTTCTTTACACTACTCAATCCAATTCACAATCTTTGATAAATGAACACCCTCAATGTGGCGCCTTAGACATATTCTCTCATTACCACAACAATCTTCTATTATATTAGTATTGTACACAGAAAGAATGAAATGAATGTCTTGATAATAATCTACTTTTTTAAAATCTACTAGACTATACTTCAAATGGAAATTACTATTAGAATTTCAATACATCAAGAATAATTATCTACTATGTAATAAAGCCATCCCTTCAAAGTTTTTCACATCCTAACACTCTACAACTAATAAAAGATGAATATCCTTAAAAAAAAACTAGATACTACCACAAACACCCAAATATTTCATGGCATGCCACCAAGCAGAGGCAAGAAATACAACCACTTGTTGTTTAAATGAGACACTGAATGCGGTAGGATACATTACAAAGAGCAACAAAAATGGTGCAGGCAAGACAAAGAAAGGATACCTGAAAGCTGAAGGACAATAAGTGCTACTTGACACCATAGCCAAGTAATCACAAGAAAATGCAATGTCTTAAAGTTGAGAGAGAGCAGAGGCTAAGAATATTTTTTGTGAAAAGGAAAATCCAACTTACAATGGTATTGTATTATGACTTAGGCAAATGTTCTACTATGTAAGAGAACATCTAATTCAAATTTCTAACTTCTATAAATCCAATTCATTCTTTAGTAATCAATTAATTTTCTTGGAATATTGCCACAAATGCTCACCATAACGTGGTCATCATCTTCAATAAGGGATTTGGGGGCTGTCTCTAGAGCTTGAATTTATATTCTTTGGAAAAATTTAGCTCTTGGATTAAGTATAAGGAAGGAGATATCTGTGGCTTGCTTATCAACTTTTACATCTCTTTGGAAGAAGGCATGATCATACAAGATAAGATAGATTTTGAGTTTCTAGGAGATAATAAGCAAATTATATACATGAATTTCCATGTAAATGGGACAAGTGACAACAAGGGATGAGAGATAGAGGATCAAAAACATAGACATGGGATGAAGTTGGAGAGATTAAGACGATAGACTTCCACTATGAATAGGAAGTGGGAGCCAAGGGAAATGGAGACATAAGACAAGGAGGTGCAATGATAGTCTAGATAGGTAGGTCGATTTAATGAAAATCTAGGTCTATTTAATATTTTCTTATTTTTAACATCTCAATTATTTCTTCTAAAAATTAAAATTTTAAATTGGAAAACTTAAATTTATTAGAAAATATTTAACCTAGTTAAAAATATTTAATGTTTGTATATGCATCATAATTTAAACAACTAGTAACTTATATTAAGTAAGATGATATTGTACTTCATATTTATTTTTATTATATATATATATATATATATATATATATGTGCGTGTGTGTTATTAAAAATATAAAATATCCGTCATTAAATAATAAATTAAATAATTGATTTTATTTCAGAATGTGAATTGTTTTTAGATCTTATTCAAAAATTTATTTGATTTTATCCCAATATTCTTATATATATATATATATATATATATATTGAAATAACTATTAAAAACCATTTTTATATTTTTAGCTTCTTAGATCCAATATTTAAGAGAAATTGGATGGGCATGTCCCATCTATATGTTACAATGACACAATTTCAGGTATTTCAAATTCTTTGTATATTCTTTTAAAAAATTAAAATTAAAATTAAAAATTAATTCATTATAATGTATATATTACACAAATAAAAATTATAATCTAATTAAAGATAAGATCAAAATCATCTTTAATTTTATTATAATATTATCATTTTATTGAATTTTTTAAACTTGTGGCCTTTTGTTCTACTTTTTGGACTATCATGTATATAAATTTTCTTTTAAATTTGATTTATCAAGTTTTATTAAACTAACTAATATTTTTTTCATTATACTAATAGTTCAAAAGACTCATAATGTTTTTTTAAACTTAAAAATACTCTTCATCTCTCAAATCTAAAACAAATTCATCATACTTTACAACAAATCCACAAAATCAACATAGATATATATTTTTTTACATATAATTTAAAAATTAACGACATTATTTATTAAATTATCTTTAAGTTTATTATTTTCGAATGATTCCCACTAAAATCTAACGGAGAGGGAGTGACGTGCACCATACAAAGATCCATGGTAAGAAAATTAAAAACATGCCTTCCAAAGAAATTATGATAAAGTATATTTTTGTTGCTGTTGTTGTAGCGGGTGTTGCTGCTGCAGGAGAAGCAGAGCTCGGCTTCTCGCAGACTTGGCCACATCGCAGTGGTGAAGCTTCCCTTTCTCGTTCACTCGGGACTTCGTTTGCGCTAGTTAGCGTTGGTTCTGAGAGCTAATAGCTACCGTGACTCTGTTTCATTTGATCCTTTCTACACCAAC